TTTTTATTGTATTTCTGAAATACTGATTTTTATTTTAGTTGGTTGAAGACAATTTTGTGTCATGTTTTTTACGTGATGTATTTGGGCACAATTATAGACATTACAGTTAATGCATGTAATATGTGTGCCGAAATTCGTTATGACAATCTGTGAAATAGGAATTTTGCATTAACCATACACGCATGCAAAGTACGACGATTTCGAAAGTTTTTTTTTACAAATTCGTACATCTTCAAATATCTAAACAGTTTTGTACGTTATGCATACAAAAGTACAAAACAAGACATTAGTGACAGTTTTCACAAAACACATACTACGGAAAACATTTAGAAGCACTCATGGTAAACAACACTGTCTGACTACCTACCATTGCGCCGAATTTGGTATAACTCAGCCCTTATCCGATGACGCACCTCCGCCATTTCAACGTCCTCGTCCGTAGCCACCACGGCTTCGTCTAGGGCAGCCAAATCTGCGCGATCGGGAATATCGGCATACGTGTACTCCGCCGCATTTCTGACAGCAGCAATGGTCGCATCATCCTCGCAGTTTCTGCGTATGAAATTGTGTAATGCCATAGATGCAGCCACCAACGGCACCTGGACTCTACGAAAGTCAAACCGAGGCATATTGTGCAAGAATCTCCACCGCGACTTCCAAGCGCCAAATGTTCGCTCAATCACACTCCGCAATGAAGAGTGGGCACGGTTGAACAACTCATCACGATTCCTCGGCTTGTGACGTTGAAAGTGTGGTTGGTGATAGTGGCTGCCCTTATATGGTGCGAGAAATCCCTTCTTATTACTGTATCCACTATCTACTAGATAATAGCGACCTGTGAATGTGTACATATTAATACATTTTTGTTTCACGTGTGGGCAAACAAATTTAACAAGTTATGGCATTGAACAAATAAACTGTGCGTACGTACCATCCACTGCAGTTGGAAAATTATATTGCGGATCCTCGGTCACAATGTTTAAAATCCGGCTGTCATGCATGCTACCCTCCCAACCACATGACACAAAGATGAAACACATATTGAAATCACACACTGCTAAAATATTTTGAGTGTGGCAACCCTTTCGGCTAAAATACGGCGCTGCTTCCGACTCCTTTATGCACGCTGGCACGTGTGTCCCATCCAATGCACCTACACAATTCGAACAATTAGGCAACGTATTAGTACCATGATGACATGCATTATAGCCGCACAATTTTTTGAAGTCACATCTTTGTAGAATTTGCGGAAAAAAACCTCGAATTGTTGCATTTTTTTCGCACCTTAAACGGCAAATACTGTGGTTGGGTTTGCAGGTGGGGATCCCTCCTGTTTTGGAAATCTGTGGGCGGCCGACAGTGCGCGACGGTAAACTTTTTCATTGCTTTCAGAACATTATGAAAATGGCGTGATATTGTTTCACCGGAGTGTTGGAATCTTTCTTGAAGCTCGCGGTTAGGCAAGTTTTTAAGGACGTGAATGAAGATTGCAACACTCTCCTCAACGTGCAAGCCGTGGTCCCGCTCAGGTACATGCAACCCGAAGTCGTTCACTAGTGTGCCACATAAACGGGTAAAAACGACTTTGGGCATGCACAGTTCATAGCGAAATCTGCCACTGTGTCCATTATACAATTCCAAAATCCATGCCCTCCCCGTCAAGATGGACGTCCGACATGGAACTTTAAGCACGTGCGCCCTGTAGTAGTCGGAGGCAATTCTGTACGCTTCAACATAATTATTATTCATTGCAGTCTGCCACTCGATTGCGAGCGCCGCAACATCATCACACATTTCCTGCATCCGTGCATCGGTGTCATCGTCGCTTTCCATGCCTAAATCACATAACTCCAAATAAAATCAGAAGCATAAATAACCAATTTATTTCATTTGCATAAGTTCTTCTGAGACCTTCTATTGTATTAAAGTAGTTCTGTTAGCAATGGTGAAATCGTGAAGACATTTACTTGATGTATAAATAAGCAAAAAAAATTTTCCTTTTATATGACTACTAAGCAATACAGAAATTGCAGTGCGATATACAAAAACACAATGTTAAATTAAAATATACAACAATAATAACTTAAATTATTTTGCTTGTTTAGTACCTTACAACGGGTCTAACTTCCAATTTTTAAGTTGAAGGCTTCAATACACTGGACATGTCTATCTGCAAGTAGCTACGCATTTGTTCAAATGGTCCAGTACAGCTGATTTACAACCACTGTTTACATAACTAACAAGCTGCAAATTGGAAGAGTGTAATCAGTTTCATTAATTATTGAAATTTAAAATTGTAAAATCCATAGCCAATACCCAACCAATGCACATCCATAATTAGAAAACAAGGCAAAGAAAAGGAATAGCATAACCATCTCCCTACCAATTGTCCTTACAAAGCATAGTTGAAAACATAATGTAATTAGCGAATACATAACAAACAAGTACGAAAAGAAGTCCAACACAAAGCATTTCATTAAAACGCAGCCCTTTAGCAAATATAAGCGAAGTCCAACGCATAAGCGAAAAGAAGTCCAACACGTAACCCATAACAAGTCCAACACACAGCATAGTTAGAAACGAAGTCCTTGACTGCGCAATATGCTTGCAAGAGTTGGAGCTGCTGTCGTCCTCTCTTTGTCTTGTTGCTTCACCTGGAGCCAGCCGATAATGCCTTCATCGGAAGGAATACTCATAACCATCTCCCTATTATTGGGCACCTCCATAAGGGAAATACCGAAATGGAGCAGTGGATTAGTTTGTTCAAGTCCTTGAATTTCATAAAGACGTCGTATAGCTTCGGCCATAGCGACACTTTGTCCACCGACAACATGGTTAACAGTGAGTTCCTTACTTTGTGTCTTCACCGAATTCACCAAATCATCCATGCTTGTTGCCAATGCTTCTGCCCCGGTGATTCGTTTCTTCTGCACGGCTGTGACAGATGAGTGCCTCTTTTTGCTGCCACTACCGGATGCGGTAATGTTTGCAGATTTCATCAAGTTTGCAGTTTCAGAGGCACCCAATTCGTTGCTGTCCGTAGAGAAGTCTGCACTATCGGACTCCCCTTCCACCTCCAGCTGGTTCCGCATCTCACCAGGCGTCCAAGCATTTTTTCCTGTTGCCGCAGCCCCCGTGAAAACACGACGCATTAATTCCTCGTGTTCCAACCTCTTTGTTCTAAACTTGCAACACTCTTTGTCAACCTGTAATACAATACAATGGGAGTACACCATTACCAAAATGAATAACTTATGAATCACAGAAAATTTTAAACTACCAACATTCAAGTATTAATCAGGCATTATGAATAACAAATTTGTCTGGATAGTCCTGCCCAATAACAGATCTGTCCAACTGTCTGGGCAATTCTATGAAACACAATTGCTAACAGGTAATAGATTAATCAAATCTTTCCAATCTGTTATAATCTGTCCAGACGGGATTATGTCCAGACAGGGATAATCTGTCGAGGAATAGAATCTGTCCAGACATATTTCTGCAATAATCTGTCCACTCCACATTGCAAATAATCTTGTCCAGACATTATTTTCATAATCTGTCCATACAGTATTTTCTGCAATAATCTGTCCAGACATTGATGTTTGTCTTCTCTCTCCTGTAATATTGCCATTGTAATTGTGACATTGATGTTTGTTTTGGTAATTTGGTGGGTGCTAGAAAAAGATTTGATATTGGGGCATTGCGGGAAATTTCATAGATAGACTCCCCAATTGTTTCACATTTTATGAGGGAAAATTATGTTTAGAATTTTATTTATGTATTTTTGCTTCACATTGTCATGGTGATTGGTGTGGATGTATTAGCTAAAGGTTAAGATTGAGGCTTCTTTACTATCAGCTAATCCCACAAAGTGACAAATACTTTAAAACCCAGCTGTTTCAATTCCCAAAGACTAACAAATTAAAAAACCATAACTGAAAGTGCCAAAACCATGTAATCTGTCCGCGGAAAATTTTGCTGCAACACATTATTGTAACAGATTATTACTTTTTTGGACAGATTATTATATGATAGCCAATTGAAATTGAAATTCCCAAGATCTTTCCAGTATAGGCTTTTAAAAATATAAGCATATGTTGTCGTCATTCATTACACATTGGTGGAGTTCATTACATCAATGACAGAAAATGGGGAAAGCAGTGAAAAAAGAAACCACATCCATGATAGATCCAATTGTGAAAGAAAAATTAAGGTATAAATCTGAGACGGTCTAGGCAACCATAAAGTAAAAAAGTGAAATCAACTCTTGACAATTATAACATTTCAACATTACTGAGATGCTGAGGAAAGTTTTCAAAACGATCAAACAAAGGTTTTAAAAAAAACACATGACGTGTCCATGGCCAAAACTAGTGTAACCACGAAGTGAGCATCACAAAATTATAAAAGATGAGTTCAAGTCGTTACCTTCTCCATTGTAGCCCACCATTCATCTGACGCATTGATGAGGCCAGTCTCTTGGTCGAACCCAATTCCAGTGGGGCCTTTGCGGCTATCCATTAGTTTCGACCATGCACGCCACTCTGCCTTTAGTTGGTTGTACTTATTTTTCAGTTGTTTCATGCTATGTGTCAACCTAGTCGCTGCCTCAAAAGTCTTAGCCAAAGACTGGTACCCATTCGGATTTATTGACATGTGCGGCCTGTTACCTGCGTCTATTTCCTTGACAACAAGTTCCAAGTAGATACGTGTGTTCTCCCAGTCCCAATTGGCTTTGTGATAAGGTTTTGGGCCCTTTCCTTTCCCGGAAGGGGTACGTGAGTCGGATCGAGTTGAAGCCATGCGACTATAGAACATTATAATTTGCATTACTTATTAGTTTGTTGTGTGCATTACTTGTAGTTGTGTTAACCATATGTTATTATGTTTGTCCAACACATATGCAATAGTAAAATGACACGGATAAGTAATATATTACATAAGGAAAGCATAGTACAGTAGCAACACGCGGATACATATATCACATACGGAAACCATAGTACAATAACCATCTAAACACTGTTACATATATTACATACGGAACAACAAGATAGCGACGATGATGGACAAAAAACATGTGACAACTTTAAGTACACGCAGACTCTGTTCAATGTCAATCAAACGCGCCTCAAAACGACGACCATTGTCTCTGTCATTCTCAGCAGCCGTTTGTCGGCCATATTCGTCACACCACCCAATCCAATTGACACATGGCTGAGGTTAAAAAAAGTTTTGAAATTATTAGTGACGATTTGACAAGGTAATAATCCCAAAGAAGGTGAAGGTGCTTGTACTCACCACTCCACGAGGGCATTGGTAGTACGCACGTCCTGGATTTTTGGCGGACCGAGAAATCTTGACCACACAATGCCCGTACCCACAAGCACACATAGGGCCTGGTTGCGTTGATGTCGCAGTAGACATAAACGAGGCCATGTACTGTGTGATGACGTGTTCGATGACATGACAGGCACAACAAAACAGGTAAACGGGTGTGACACTTATGGTATGGGATAAGTGTATTGTGTAAACAAAACACAACATTATATTTACAAAAGGGAACATATATTCTTCCATTTTCAATAGGATTGCTTCCCTAGTCATTTATGTGCAACTGGTTGAATGCTAAGAAGCGCAGAGGCAAAGACGGGAATTTTGTAAAAAACTAAGATACCGACAAGACAAGACAGAAATACAACAAAAGAAATCTTTTTGTTTTTTTTTTTTAAATTTCCATTGCTATGTAAGTAAAGCCAAATTTAGGAGACACTAATTTAAAAGGCATTAATGTATCTAGGTGTATTTTTACATTCTCAGTTTCCTGTCTTTGTGTTTATATATTTTAGTTTGATCTTAATGCATCTTTCTAAATCATATAAAAAATATCACAAATATGATTTGAGGCATGTTTAAACATAGGACACATGTATCTATGAACTGTGTAGTTAAAAAAAAGACATAAGTCATTCCACGTGACGTGTCCAACACAGAGATGTATCCCTACCATGTTGGTGCCCCATACATTGACACAAATACTTCATAAGTTGATTGAGTTGTCAAGTGTCTCAGACTTTTCCTTGCGTTTGATAATGTGAACATAATTTACACTTGTGCTTTGTTATGACAAATTTATAACCGAGAAATTAAAATATTAATCATGATTGACCATACAACAAGCAAAGAGCTTGAAAATAAAAGTAACAAAAAAAAAACCGAATCATGGCAAACCAATAATACCAAAATAGCACATGACACAGCATTAACCATATATTGATAGCATTACAAGTCAAAGTCAACATAATCACCATATATTGATACCAAAATAGCACATGACACAGCATTAACCATAATTAACCATATATTGAGCCGTCTATTTGGGCAACATTAAAATTTGTAGTCTGAAAAAACTAGGTAGGTACGAAGGCAACATAATAACGTAAGATCCCACCATAGCATTAACCATATATTGATAGCATTACAAGTCATCCTTGGATTAGCAGTTTGAAACTACAAACTTGTGTATTAGATTAGAAAGAAATAGAATGTTATGTCATGTTAAAATATATGCACATTTACATATATATGTATGTACATGTGTATTAGATTAGAAAGGAATAGACTATATTCATGCATATGTATATGCATAAAGATCTAGAAAAAGTACTTGAATAGATGTTACACAAACATCCTGATCATGGAAATCATGCTCACCAACTTCACAGTTATACAGCTACTGAATTCATGTCTATGTTCCATCTATTTAGCACTTTTTAACAATCGTACCACATTTCCATGAACACTATGAGGCAAGCGTGACGTAGAAAAATGAAAAATAAGAAAGTGTCAAGCAGAAAAATGAAGACCTTTATACTATTTTGTGAATTTAAAATGCAGCTCCATGACCTTACCTTAAACAGATTAAAAATCTTAAACGCATGCAAACAGATTACAAAATTTAAGCAGATTAAAAACCTTAAACAGATTACCTAAAAATATAGCGCCATGAAATGTATACATTACCTTACCTTAAACAGATGACTTTAAACAGAAATGTTAAACAGTTTAAAAATTTGAAACAAATTAAACATTTGTCAAAGTTGTAAACACATAAAAATCAACATTACCTTGAACAGATTAAAAATCTTTTGCTGAAGTACATTGTTTAAACACTGAGACATATGGAAGATGAGTTTGTTGTGGAAATTCGTATGATTCGTTGTTTTCTAGTGACAAATGTTCTTTTTTTCTCCCCCCTCCTTTTTCATTATAGGGATTGAATCCACCTTACTCAAAAGATTAACAGGGACAACCAGACTGCGACATAAACAAAAAGAAAATGACCAATTACTCCAACGTTATTGTGATGTGTTCGCAGGAATGACAATGGTGGCACTTGTAGCTAATTTCACCAAATTTATAGGAATAGTATAAATGAAAATTTCCTATTTAGGGGGCTTTCTTGTTAGGGGAAAATTAATCATAATACTTCATCGTATGTAGGGGACTTTGTTGTTAATCCCCCCAAAAAAGGCGTTGTAATTTTTTGTTAATGCGTATGAAATAGGCAATGGTTGATACACACACAGCGACAAAGACAAACAAAGAGCGAGAGGGAGAGAGGGCAGACTGTGCACATATACAAAAACCAGAGCAGAGAAGTCATGGTTATGAGATCCACACCCCCCCACCAACGGACAACCCGCAATATTGTCTATTTCCGGTACGTGAAAGAAACCCTAAAACCCCCAACATAATAGGCCAGTTTCTGGAAAAATTTACCCAACTCGAATGTTGAAGACAAATTGAAAAACGACAATGGTCAGACAGAGCGACAGACACACACACACAGACAGTGAGAGCGCGAGAGAGAGAAAGAGAGTTCATACATACATACAAACCAAACAGAGCGTACGACGGTTGGGAAGCCATAGTGAAATGGAAACAAGAGAGGCTGAAGAGAGAGAGACAGAGAGCGAGAGAGAGAGACAGAGAGCGAGAGCATACCTGCACTTGGGGGGATCGTCGGAGGAGGGACTGCTTTTCCGTTTGCCTTGGCAGACTATCGTCGTCTCTTGGTTCCTCTTTCTCTTCAACTCAGAGCTACTACTATGATCCAGCCGTGAACGAAAGGTCATCTTCATCTTCACCGTTTGATGTAGCTGCACAGCCGTAGCTACTACAGTCTGTGGGAGAGTAGGTCTGCTGACATCCCCATCAATGTTTGACATAAAGGCAAGGGTGAAAACGAGATAAACAAAATGAAAGAGGGGCAAAACGGTCATTTTACACAATAGCTGGCAGCCTTCACGTGCAGGTAGTGTATATAGGTTTTTAGGGTGACTTTTTGGCTTTTTTAGTAACTTTTTGGCTTTTTGGCTAAAACAGAAGCATCCCAAACGAGGCCTAAATTTGTAGTACCTATTTGAAATTGATAGTATATTCAATTCATTAATCAGTTGGTGACGAAATGAAATTGTAAAGAGATATGGATGCTACTTCATATTTAGCACAGGTAGATGTGTTCCAATTAAGAAAATTAATTACTATTAGTAGTTTGTTTGATACATAAAGAAAGGGTTTGCATGAATAACTACAATTCTAGAAAACATTTTGATGCTCAATATCGAAAATCACAACAAATTGAATCTCAACATAAATAACGAAAAGATTCAAAAAAATTGCAAGGACTATTTGACGAAGCCCACATGGAAACATTATAAAATAACATCTAATAAACACAAACCATGACAAGCAACACCTTATCATCCACCAACCCCAAAATATTTGGCTTAGTGGGAGGGGAAAACAACCAAAGGGCTTACTACCCAAGAGGTTGCAGGTTCGAATCTAACGAAGGCCAAACATCCTAAACCTTGGGGTCACTAGAGGTATGCTTGGTCGTTAATTTCAGGATCATGGGATTATTCAAGGTACGTGTAAACTGGCCCAGACACCCAGTTATTAAGAAGAAAAAGAAAAAAAAACACCTTATCGTCCACCTTCAGTTGGGGAAATGATATGGTTTGCCATGCTATCATAAGCTGCTGAATAGCTTCTATTATTTCCATCACCATAAGCATTTGAAAGTAGATCTCCAAGCAAGTAGTGAGTCTCTTCTAAATCTTTGTTGTCATTTACCCATGAATCTTTCTCCATCATTCTTAATCCCTCTAACTCCATTGCCACTTCTTTCATGGCTGGCCTTTCGTCACCTTTCACTCTTAGGCATCTCTTTGCTAAAATAGCAACTTCCTTTAGTTGGTCAGACTTTGCTACATTCATCACCTGTTCATCAACAATTTCAAACAAGCGATCTTCTTTCATTGATGACACAAAATACATTGCTAAATTTTTCTCTAATTCAGGCCTGTTGAAAGAAAGTGCCTTCTTGCCGGTTAGTAACTCCACAAGGACAACCCCAAAGCTGTAAACATCACTCTTTTCAGTCAATTGGCTTGTGTGGAAGTACTCAGGGTCCAAGTAACCGAGTGTCCCTTGAACCAATGTGGTTAATTGAGTTTGGTCTTTGGGAATCAACCTTGAAGCTCCAAAATCAGATACTTTAGCAACATAATTGTCATCTAAGAGTATGTTAGTGGACTTAACATCTCTATGAATGATAGGAGTACTAGCGGCAGAATGCAAATATGAAAGGGCTGCTGCAGTTTCAGTTGCTATCCTTAAACGATTCTCCCAAGTAATTGAGGACTTGTTGTGGTCGATATTGTGTATGCGCTCGTAGAGAGTGCCATTGGTAACAAATTCATAGACAAGGGAATTTGTGTCTCCAAGCAACACCCTAGGAGCTTTACAACATTCCTGTGGTTGACTTGGGAGAGAATTATGACTTCATTAATGAATTGCTCTATCTGGGACTGGCTCTGATCAATTACATTGGACTTCTTAATGGCAACTATGGTGTTATCTAGTAATATTCCTTTGTAGACTGTTCCTTGGCCTCCTTTGCCCAAGACTCTACTTTCATCGTAGTTGTTTGATGCCTTCTTGAGGTCATTTGAGGTAAAGATTTTAGCTGATTGAACCGATCCTTCACGTTTGGAAAGTTGTTGTTTTAACATGAAGCCATCATTTTGTTGAAAGAACTTCTCTCTAAGATTGAAGATCTTCCTCTGCCTAAATACCCAATATAGCCAGGAGCCACCAAGAAGTAGCCCTGAGATGCTTATGCTGATGCCTACAAAGATTCAAACGGAAAATATCAATATCTATAATTCAAGTTTCAACTTCATTGTGATGAAACGAAAAAGCTATAAACCCCAAAAATGAAATGTATGGTATAGATTCAAATTTAGAGTGGTGCGAGATGCATCAAGAATAATATATTTCATTTTCTAGGTATTTTCTGTGCATTAGTTTTTGTTTTTTTTTTTTTTTTTTTTTTTTTTTTTTTTTTTTTTGGTTGGTGCAGCCTTTTGATCTAAACTTTGTCACATTTTTTGTGACAACTTTTTTTTTTGTGTGTGTGGTTATTCCATTCTTCTTTGAATTACCAACACACAATCTACACATGAAAATGAAAAATAAGACAAGAGAATTGGTTGTTTATAAAAACTTAGATGTCTATATAAATGTTAGGTTGCTGAAAGAACAATATAAGGTAATTGAAGATATGGCATCTTCAAATTGTTTCAGATTGTGCATCAATAATTGAGGATTGTAAACTCTTTAACTGGAGATAGAATCAAAATCACAAGCAATGATCTGTTTGAATATTGATGAAAATTTAATCTATAGAAAAATTTATGATTAGTAAGCATGTGTGGGGTGTATGTGTACCTACCTAATGCAATGTTAATCACGGGAAGCCTATGGTTCGGAACAGGAATCAGACTGCAACCTGATCCATTTTTTCTGCCATCACCTTCATAGCCCTCTGGACAAGAACAATTGTATGTGCCTGGTAAATTCTGGCATGTCATGTTGCAGGGGCTTGAAATAATGCACTCATTAATATCTGAGAACAAGCAAGTTTGATTTTTGATGTCATATTCAATAGCTACAACATATAAATCATGGCATCAATGTTAGGAAGAAACTGAATGCTTTCAACACAGTTGTGGTTACCTATACAACCATTGGGAAGATAAGGGTTCCCTTCGTATCCCTGGGAGCAATTGCAGCGATACCCAGGACCATTGTCAAAGTCATGACAGTCGCTAGTAGCCTTGCAAGCAAAACTTGTTAGATTGTTTTTGGCTTCAGCACATGTTTGGTTCCCTACAGACCAATCAAGCACCACGGGAAACATCGTTCTGTTCTGTAAGTTTGCAAGATCTAAAGAAGAGAAGTTGTAAGCAGTTTCCTCAGCTACGAAAGCGTAGCTGCACGGATTAAAGTTCCATACAAGGGTATGGTTGTTATAGCTTCTGACACTGATGTCGAAACTCCTTACTCCCTTGGGGATACTCGTCTGACAGCAGCCAATGCCACAGCAAGAGCCGTTGATCACATCGTTGATGTTGTCGCATAGTGACAAACACCCTGTGTCATGCTTTTGTCCCTGGGAGCCTAAGATAACTGCATAGGAGTCACACCCAACAGCCGTGAACTTGTTTCGGGTATTTGAGATGGGGAATTAGGCCAATCTGATCCAGTAGTCATAATAGTGTTCCGAAACACCCCCTTCATTGAAACAATCATATGCTACCACGGATGATATGCGCAACTGACCAGAAAGATACATGTTTGTGATCTCTATGTGACTCGTTGTTAGAAACAACTTGGGAGGGTCGTAGTGGGTGTCGTTACAAGTAACCAGAAAATGTTCTTCTACGTAGCATTCTTTACTAGTGCCAAACGGGTATGGGATACTGATGTTACCACAATAATCTAGGCAACCAGGCATGAATTGAGCAGCAGCAAAAGATGCTACTATAAGAACCCATACCAAGTTAAGTTGCAGAAAAATCAAAGGTAAATTATACATGGTTAGAGCCAGGTTTTCAGGCATCAGATAGCTTTGTGGTTGTACTTCATTTTAAGTTCCTTATTTATAAGGCAAAAATAAATAAATAAATAAATCACAATTAATGAAATATAGATGATGAAATGAAACGCGTATAATATGTTGTCGAAGTCCAAACACATCAATTGCTGAAGCGCAGTTTAGAGTATCAATTTAGACTAGTCGTTGTTATAAAAATAGAAAAATGGTAGAATTAATATACAAAATGACTAGTGTGATTATTTAAAAACACAAAGCTAATGTTTTGATCATAGTTTATAAATATGCAACTGTCATATGAAATATCATAAACTCAGCAATATTATTTGGATGTGAAAAAAAAAAAATTAAATAAAACCACATATTTTTAAATAGTTCTTTGTTTTGGGAGCAAAAATAAATTAACAAAATTTTTTAAGGGTGCATACCATATGCACCTTACCACAAATTGACACAATTTTATCACAAAATTTCATAACAACAACCACAAAACATATTTAAACAGTAATAATGAAATTTATAACTTTTGATCTTACCAAACAACGTGTACAAATAGTATTTTATTTTAATTTTTATAGTTTAAAAGTAAAGTTTGATATTTCAAAATTCCAACAGCTTGAACCTAAAGAAATTTTTTTTGAAAGTATCATGTTGATGATTTTTTTTAATCATCTAACGCATTGGCAATTAAAAAAATTAAAAAAAAAAAAAAATTTTAAAAAATGACAATAATATTCACACTTGTAAATGAAAAATAAGTGATTTAAAATGAAGTATAAATATCATTTAAAAAAAAATTAAGATAAACATATTTTAAGCTAAAAATTATGTCTACTTTTTTTTTTCTTTTTTTGATATAAAAGAAATTCTGTGCATAGGACAGGTATACTACTGGTTCGATAAAAAAAATTAATCAGAAACATTAATGGTATAAGTCCAAACTAGAGGACTAGGTTCAAAGCATAACGATCTACCCAACCCCCACGGCATCTCTCGTATGTGTGGCTATCAAAATAACACTTAGAACCCTTGCTTTTTTTTTTTCTTTTTTTTTTTTGCGCAATGAATTTGTTTATTCAAAATTTTTTAGAACTCATAAAAAAATATTTTCAATTATGATAATACATTTCATTTAATTTCTTACTTTATTTTTTATTTTTTGGCATAAAACATTAGAATTCACATATAAATGCACGTAAAAGTTACTCACTTATATTTAGAAGATGGAAAACTATAATAAAAGAAAGGATAAATTACACTAACAATCCTTATAATTTGGGCTTGTGACACTTTCATCTTTGACTTTTCAATTATGATATATTTGAACCTAAATTTGAATTTTGTTTAGATAAGGAAAATCAAAGATGTTTTCTTTGTAAATGGTCCATTTGAAGAGCAAAGTCGTCATACAACTTTTTTTTATGTTGTTGATTCATATGTTGTTTAAAATGTAATGACCTTTTTTATTTAATGAATAATGCTGAAATTTTTTTGGTTATAAAATTCTGTTTGATTTGATTTTTAGAATCTATTTTTAGAAAAATTTTCTGAGAAATTAAAATTAAATTTGGTGAAAAAAAATTAAAGATACATCATTTTTATATAATTTTATCTTTTGAGAGACTAGAACTAATTTTTGAAAATAATTTTTTTGATATTTATTTTTGTTAAATTAGTTTCAATTTTTTCAAAAGTCAAACATGACAACAACTTTAATATCATTATTAATTCAATCCATTAAATCAAAAAATCTAAAACAAAATTTTTTTATATATTAAACATATCAATTACACATTAAAACCCTAATGACCATCCATTACATGATAACCATAATATATATATATATATATATATATGTTTACAACAAATGTAGTCATCTATTACATTATAAATATCCAAAAATATAAAACAAAAACAATCACTTATTACACTATCATCATCCAAATACATACTAAAAATTAATTTAATAAAAAAATAAAAGTATTAAAAATGTAAAAGATTTATTATCTTTGGTGGGTAGAAAATTTAAAAATATTTTTTTGATATTTATTTTGATCAAATTAGTTTATATTTTATCAAATTGACAATTTTACCCTTGAAATTAAGCAATAGTTATGGTATCTTCAATTATCTTTATTTGAAATACGATTCAAAATTCAGGAGCAAATGTGCCATAATTGAAAAGTTAAGAATCAAAGTGACACGAGTCCCAAAACTATAAGAACTATTAGTATAATTCGTCCAAAAATAAAATAATACAATGAAATCTTTTGATGCAACTTGCATTTGATTAAAAATAAAAATATTTCGATCAAGCCTACTGTTTATCAGCAACTAATTCCCTTTGCAAAAATGGAGACATGTCCCTATTGTGGCGTGGGCACGTAAGATTCCAAGAATATCATATAACTTCTCGGACACAACAAATTATTAGGTGAGTCTGGAACACTAGGGTGAACAACGAACAAAAAATACAACTTGCACACGGCCGTAAGAAGGTGACACTGCAAAACTTGGCAGCTGCAAATGGTTTATAATTGGAGGCTACATAGCATTGCAGTTGCATTTGTTTTGCCATTTGCAGCAGGAACATGAACGTCAAGCATCAACAACTTCGAAGATTTTCAAAGCCTACCAAGCAATCATGTACAATAATAAAACAAGTAAATATACCTATTTTTAAACGAATTCACTTGGGCCTGTGTCTGACAGTTTCTTCGGCACGAGTTAGTGCATCTGTGAGCACATCAATAGTCCAATCCTTCAAATCATCCTGCACAAAACAAGTAAATAAAAACAAATGGTCAGGGAAACCAGAAAAATGGATTAAATCGCCATTGGTTCAAATGCCGGATCAACTAAGATCAAATGTCTCAAATATATTACAAAATTTAAATTAAAAAAATACAAGTATTAAAATTACAAAAAAGCATCATAGATACACAAAATCGAATAAACTAAACACAGATTCTTCATCCGTCACTGATATGGGGGTTTGAGGAGTGAAGACTGAATGAGGATGAAAAAACTGAATGACGGAATGAGGGCTGAAAGAGCCCTAAGCCAAAATTTAGAGGAGTTTAGAAAACAGTCGGTCAAAGTAAACCGTTGCCAGCTTGAACGAGTGACTGGTTCAACCACACAGCTCTAAGCAGCTTTAACAAAGGAGGGCAGTTTGTGTTCAAAGCAGTTTTGTGGTTCATATGGACAAGTCTGGTCTGATTTTCATAACATTGATATATAACACACAAGCACACATGCATACTTTCTGAAGAATGGAACTAAGCCCGTACCCAAATCACAATCCATTTAATTTGGTTATACAAACAGTGAACTGTTATTTGCTGCTCTGAGCTACAAATGTCATCATCAGTTCCATCAGTTACCATAGTAAACTGTTTTCAGCTACGATAGAAATAGAGCAATGCGGTCAGTGTTTCCACCATGGTAACAGACCGGGGTTAAGAAACTTGGCTGCTAATTCTAACTACACTAGATTTTGTTCAATAAACTCAAGAGCCTAATTTTGAGCCTTCTCAGGAAGCAGTAAGACAGACTGAATATTGAAAAGGTTCACATATTGTGTTGAGGTTAGATGTGGAAAGAACGGAGCATGGTGCAAATATAGTTCCCTACTACTACAGTCATTGTAAACAACATATTAAAATGCCACAAGTGCTAAACGTTATAAGGAAAAACAGGATATAAGATTAAAAACGTGCCATTGCCTAACAAACACATAAAAGATGCATATAAAAAAGAAAAGGTGGTTCTGAATTCAAAAAAATAATTAGGGATCTTAAATTCATGTCAGACGAGTATTAATTCTTAAGAAATAGAGGCTCGTTTCCCAAGAAAAGAAACCATACAAACCGTAATAGCTGGATCTTGATATTATCATGTAATTTGGTGGAGAAGAGAATTTCTGCAAGTCTCTGACACTAAAACAAATAAAACAGCAAGCATATACACCTCTGGTCTTGTGCTAATCATAAGTAAATAAAGTGCATACGTGTAGAGGATTAGAGCACACAATTAATATAATACTGTGGCCTCTCATGTTAACCTACAAAGTGCCTCAAAACTATCTCAACAATTTTTAGAAAATATATGTTGCAAAAGTTACACAAGATTTTGATATCCACGTAATATATTTATAATATCCCAATTAGCAGCTTCTTCATGTTGGAGTTCATTTACTAATTGTACACAATCAGTAAGCAAGGTGATGGCCTTCACTTGACTTTGTGCATACCAGTAAATTGCTTCAAAACACGCTCAAGTTTCCGCCATAGTTGCTGAAGATGCCAAAAAAGAAAACTGCTGTGTTTTGATGTACCCTCTGTTATCAAGACCAACCCAAGCTGCTCCCGCCTTGCACGTTTGTTTGTCCCACGCACCATCAATAAGTATCTTGTCAAAACACCTATCTGGACACCAAGATAAATTATTAGTAACAACATAACAATTATCTATTACATTTACTTGATTTTGGCCATCCACTCTTGGTGGTAGATGAATTTTCAAACTGAGCACCATTCCAAATGATTAATTGTGATGGACTGTCCACAATCTGTTCATGGACAGCCTTGTTTCTATGCAACCAAATGCCCCAAAGGAGTTTGATAGACTCAATTATTGCGTCCTTGTCCGGAGCTTGCTTGAACCAAAATTTGATCCTGACATTGCCTCACCTGCATCAAAATCAAGACTGAGCCGAGAAGCTTGCCAAATATGCTTTAGAAAAGGGCATTGAAAGCACGTGTTCAAGCATTTTGTCCAACACCACACATCGTGGGCACACCGCCGGACATCAATACCACGACCCCTTAAATTGCTCGAACGGGTGTGTCAACTCCATTTTTTTTTATCAGCAAAAAGAGAAATTTTATTAATGAAGAAAGTAAGATACATACAAAAACTTACATCAACAAAGACGGGAAGTGCAAAATGCATTATAGCTAACCATACCGATCCCAACTAGGTTGGCATTGATACGGAAGTACAATCCTCTGCTAGCACTAAATCCAAGATTGGTGAGGAACCAACTCTTGAGCAAAGGTTAAGATTGTTTGAGAGAAATGTTTTGGAGGAAAGGATTATGAAAATCAACTCAGGCCACGTTTGTTCAGGAAATTAAAGGGCACGCCATAAAACGTAGTTTTGGTCACAAATTATTGTGGTTATATTGCAAACTATTGAATAAAATGTATGTGTATATATATATACATATGAATCATTATAATTTCATTATGAATCATTGCAATAAAATTAGTCAAATAAAATTTTAAGTCTTTCGTGACAAATAGATATTACAAAGAAAAAAACATGAAAATATTTTTTTAGAATATTATAAAATTGAGACAGTTTTGGTAAAGGATGTGTATAAATAAATTATTTAAAAACAAATAGGTGTGGACTAATGTAAGGGTAATCCCCTTATTTATTTATTTATTTTTTAAGATGGTGATGTAAGAGCATTCTCAGCAGATCACTTATAATAGCTTTTTGCTAAATTAAGGGGTTAATTCTTTAAAAATCCTTCCCCAGTAGACCCCTTATTCAACCCCTTAAATTTAGGATTGTTACAGCCACTCCATATTTTTAGAGAGTCACTGTAACTCCCTTACATCTGACAGTGGTCGTCTAGCCGGATGTCCCAGATGAAGTGATATGGGCAAAACTTACTTCGTAGGTCTGGGTGATCGACCGGCCGATCGACTGCCCCCGGCTCCTGCTGCTTTTTCTTCTTCTGTGTCTGTTTAATTATTTTATTATTAAAAAATATTCAAATTTAAAAATAATTAAAAAGATTATTTTAATAGAATAGAGAAAGAATATGAAATTTGTTGAGAGAAGTAGATGAAAAAATAATTTCTAAAATACGGAATAAATTTTTTAATAATATTTTAAAATAAAATTTAAATAAGCTACTGAGAATGCTCTAAGGATGATCTTAGAGGTTCTTACATGTGACATTATCTCTAAAGTAAACATGTTTAGCCCAATAAAATTGTGAGGTTAATGTTTGCGGTTGTTTTTAAACTAGTTATTATATGAAAAACGCTTTACATAATTAAATTTAGGAAAGTAATTAAGAGCTTTAAAATTAGAGTTCTAATTTGAGCTCTAGTGATGTGGCAAAGCAAAAAAAAAAAAAAATACAGAAAAAATAGAAAATCAAGCTTAAACATCACATCATAGTAAGATCCACCTTCATTAGAGTTCTTTAAAATTCAGCTCTCAATCATTTTTGTTAAATTTATAACATACTAAAAGTTGATACATAATTTGTTATGTCATTATAAATATAATTGTGATATTAAATGATGAGTCTCAATCTTTTCCTTATTTTCTATTTCATTTTATGGGTTCGTTTGGGATATGGGTTGGCTTTTTTACTTTTTGGTTATTTTAGCCTGGGGCTAAAAAGTCTCATTTGAGATAATTTTTTTTAGCTTTTTTGACTTTTATAAGAGAAAAAATAAAATGATTATAATTTAAATGTGACATTTTGTCTTATTAGACTAAAAAGTTTATTTTATTTTTTTGTGACTATTTTAGTCCAAAAAAACCCCATTTTAACTTATATCAAACGTAGACTATGTTAATTTTTTACTTACTTTTTTCTCATTCTTAGACAACAAACAACAAGACTCACATTCATAAATGTAATGACAACTATTTAGAGTGAGAGAATAAGTTAGAAAAATAAAACTATATGCAATATATTTTTTTAATATATAAATGTAATGGGACCTATTACTAGTGTTTTAGAGTGAAAAAATGAGTTATAAAAATAAAACTTATATGTAATGTTAAATGTCTTTATCTTTTTATTTTGAAACTCTTTTTTCTTTGGTTCCCATCATCTAAAATTGCATTCTACATATTTTTCTTTGGTGGTTTTACATATATCAATTAATATATAAACTAGTATATAAATACTAGTTACAATATTATTACTGACCCTACTCATTATATAGATTATAAATACTAAAAATATCTTAAATTATACTATATCATCAATTAATACACTAATGGTTACATATAACATTATTCATTTTCCTTTACACTCCCACCATATTCTAAACTTTACCCCTCTTTATACCTCCACTCCTCCCCTCTCTCTTTCTTCGGAACGCTAGTTTGCCACTTCGGCCACCCTTTTCTTTATCTCAGCCATCACCTATCACATTCTCCGATGGTGTCAGCCACTACCACCAGCCCCTACAACTATTCCCTACTCCTTAAACCCTACCCTAAGCCTATACCATCCCAACCATCTTCAACTCCGGTTGGCCACCCTCTCCCACTCCTTTGCAGCTCCAACGCTACCCACCTCTAATACTACCCCTTAACCTGTTCCCAACCCCGACGACGACCACGACCACGACCACGACCACGACCACCACCACCCAGCCCTACTCCTACATCATCGCTCTCTCTCTCTCTCTCTCTCTCGTGTCACGATTGAAGAAAGCAGAGGGCAACGATAGTGCGGTGGCTAGGATTTTCAATTGTAGAGGGCAGTGCCAGCTAGGGTTTCACAAAGAAAGTTGCAGGTGGCTGTGGGAAGAGGGTGGCGGAGTTGCGAATCACATGTGTAGGGCGACATTGGGATGATAAGGAGGGTAGGTGATGACGACCAAAGGTGATAGCAATGGCTGGTAGAATTAGAATTAGGATTAGGGTTTAGAAGAGATAAGGGTAAAAATAGAACTTCATATGTGGACAAAATTGGAATTAAAAAAAAATAAAAGAGATGAATGGTGGGCAATTCAATTTACACACCATTACTTGTCTCAGTACACATCATTTACTCTGTTCACACCATACACAAATTAAAAATTTTAATTTTATCTCAATACACACCAATAATTTTCAGATAATACTCAACTACCCTCATCTTGTCCAACAAACCCTCACACTAACCATTTGCCAGCAACCATTGCCTCCTACCGGCATCGTTCCCTTCTCAGCCTTTCTCAACCTCCCATGGCCGTCGCCCCTTCCCAGCTTCTCTTCCCCTTCCACCAATGCTTCCTCCTCTCTAATCTCCCTTCCTTTCGTCGCAACCCCATTCTGTCAGTCCCTCATCGTTGTCTCCTTCTGCTATCGTTGCTGCCGCTGTAGCCCCTTTCCATTCAGTCGCGATCATTAGATCGCGATCTCTCTTCCACCTGCGATTTCTCTATCTCTTTCAATCACAATGACCATCAGCCTTCGCCATCATCATTGCCGGCAACCCCTCTAGCCTTTCATTCCCAATGACAATGTCGCAGCCAAACAACCCCTTTTGATAACCGTTCGTCGTGATCCACCCCTCATCCAACTAGGTTTTGGGTTTCTAGATCTAAGGTTTGAGCAAGAAGAAGAATAAGAAGAAGGAGACAGGGGGTTACAAAATGGGCTACGGGAGATATTGGGATTGGAGAGGAGGGTGACGGGGCTAGTTGTAGAGGGTGGAGAAGGGTGGAGGTTGACAGAGGGATGGACGACGGAGCTGGGGAGGCGCGATTGGATTAGGGAAAGTATGCTGGACTAGGAGAGGGGATGGTGGTAGCTGTAACGGCAAGGGCTGGAGAGGGGCGATCAGATGGCACTGGCAGAAGGAGAGGAATGCTACGAAGGTGGTGATGATCGGAAGGGAGGGAGGTGATTGCCGGTGGTAAGAAATGGCAAAGGTTAGGGTTGAGTTGGGAGGGAGGAAGGGAGGGAGGGAGAGAGAAAGGGAGGGGTGTGTTGGTAATTTGATTAAATGATAGAAATGTAATAAAAAAAATGGGGAAATAGCGTGAATTGAGAGAAATGATGATGTGTAAATAGAATTACCCATGAACGGTAAGTGTAAATAATACTACTTTTTTTTAAAATATAACATTTTTCCATTTGTTACTATGTTTTTGCGTGATATTGTGCTTTTGGTCCATGGTGCTTTTAGGTTTTTGCTGACTATAATATTCCCCTTTTGCAGTCATAGGATTAGATGAAAACTATTTGTAAATTTGATATCACTATCATACAACATTCTATGTTTTTTAATTGGTCCATTTGAAAACCATTTCTAATTTTGAGACCACTGGCCTGTAATGTTGTTTGTTTTAGTGTTT